ACTTAACAGAAATAGTGAACTGTAATTTGACCTATGAGTTGTAGTTCACTGACCTTCTATAAATGGATTCTGAGCCAGGCAGGGTGGCACCTGTAATCCCAGCAGCTCAGGTGGCTGAGGCAGGAGGGTTGCAAATTCAAGGCCAGCCTCAGCAATTTAGGAAGATCCCTCTCTGGGGATGTAGGTCAGTGGTAGAACACCCTGGGTTCCATCCCCAGTGACACAAAAATGGCGAGGGTGGGAGACAGGTTCTGAGTTTAGAAAAACAAAATTGCTGTGCTGGACTAACAACTAAATTGTATATATTTTAAGACATACTATTTAACTATAAGTATAAATTTTTAGGAAGTTAGTATAATGGAGAAAGCTATTACTTGAATGCCATTTTAAAAAAAAGCAGCTTAAATAGATTGTATTCGTGGATGTTCTGACATAATGTTATGAAAATGTCAATTCTGAAATTAATCTTTGACTAATATAATTCCAATTAATAGTACAACGTGATTTGAGGAAGAGAGATTGGAAAATGTTCCAAAGAAGATTAATCTGGGAATTTTTAATGTCTAAGAATTCTAAAAATGTCTAAAGGGCTGGGAATGTAGCACAGTGATAGAACGTGTGCTGAGCATGCATGAGACCTAGGGTTTAATCCCTAGCACCACACACACACTAAAAAGTAAAGAGGGGATCCACTTTAGATATTAAGTTGTACCAAAAGCCATAATAATAAGTGCAGAAATTGACAAAAAGAGAATATGGTAATTTCATACATGATAGAAGTGGCTTCAAAAATTGGGGAAAGGATAGACTAATAGATGTTGCTGAGAAAACTTTACAGAGAAAAGTGAATTTGGATCCCTAGCTACCATATGCAGAAAAATATTGCTTAAGGGTAAAGGTAGGTACTGGGGTTGTGGCTCAGTGGTAACACACTTGTCTGGCATGTATGAGGCACTGGGTTCAATCCTCAGAACCATATTAAAAATAAATAAAGTTAAAAAAGTAAAGGTAGACCTGTGAACGTGGAAAATGTGAAGTATCTTGGAGCTTGGGAAGTATATTTTTAACAAAGGCTCTTAAAGCACAGACCATAAGGTAAAAAATTCTTAGAATTTTACCATTTTGTAACCATCATGAAAAAGATTGGATCAAGGAAGAACTATTAATGAATATTAAATGGAGAGAGAATGAAGAATAAGTTACCTGCATGACCTCCAAGTGTCTCCCCACAGATGCCTTATTGCAAGAGAAGAACAGTATTTCTTAAGGTGGAGAAAATGGCAGCCAAATAGATAACTATGTCCATATTAAAGTTTCTGAAGTTGCGCTGGGACTGTGGCTCAGTGGTAGAGTGCTTGCCTAGCATAAGTGAGGCACTGGGTTCAATTCTCGGTACTGCGTTATAAATAAATAAAATACATTGACAATTAAAAAATATTTTTAAAAAGTTTCTGAAGTTGATAACTCTAGTTGTAGAAGGATACTTGCCGCAGTCCGGCTGGGCAAAATAACTGGAGGTGACAAGCAACTTGAAGGTTGAAGCGGGAACTGCTTTATTACGGAACAGCAGAGGTATATATACCTGATTACACACAGCTTGACTCAATTAGCATCGTCCAAATACAGCAATCAGCCAATAAGGAATCCCCACCATCTTAATGGCTCGGTGGTGTTGCCTCACAAACCACTCCTCCTGGCAAACTGCCAGGCTCCATCTTGACTTGATCGCAGCCCCCAACAGATTCTATCCTTAATCCTAGGAAATACACATGCAAATATTTGTCTACAGCTGAAGTTTTTTAAAAAAAGATAAGGTAAAATTATAGAGTAAAAATGTTAAAAAGATTTTGGCATGAAAATTTAAAATTTTGCTAATCTTAGAAAAGCTTAGTTAACTAGGGTGAAATAGTCACAACATTGAAACTCACAAAAAAAAATTACCTAGAATACAAGAAACTCCTGGAAATTAAAAAAAAAATAGGCCAATGAAAAGATGAACAAAGACTGAACAGGCACTCTACAGAAGGGGAAACCAGACCCCATCATTTTTTGATTGGTATATAGCTGCGATGGATACATAGGTCTTCAAGTCATCATTCTAAGCTCAGAAAAACAGAATGATAGCTATTGTGCAATATTCATGCAAAGTTTAAAATGTACATATCTTATATGTCTCATAAATACAGCTATAAAAATATCAGGAGCCAGGTGAGGTAGCAAACGCCTGGAATCTTAGCAGTTTGGGAGGCTGAGGCAGGAGGATCACACGTTCAAGGCCAGCCTCAGCAATTTAGTGAGGCCCTGGGCAACCTAGACCCTGTCTCAAAATAAATAAATAAAAAGAGATGGAGATGTATCTCAGTGGCAAAGCTTGATTAAATCCCCCATACCAAAAAACTTTTTAAGCTTTATGATGGGAGAAAAGGGAGCAAGAATAGAAAATAAAAGAAAAAATAGCATAAAACTAGAGAGGCATGCTACACAGATATTATCAGGCCCATGAGCTCAAGAGTTGGTTAAACTACCCAAGGTCCCATGCTCTTCTTGACTTGGCTTGATCTTAATGGGTTAGAAACAGCTTTATTATAGCTCCAGACACTGGCCCTGACTTGCTCACTTTCCTGCTCATTTGTGTCTGTCTAAACTCCCCTTCTGGCTTTCTCAACACACTCCTCCAGGCACACCTTTGGGTGTGTCAGGAACATGTTCATCACAGAAACATTTTTTGTGCCACAAGGGATTGTTTCCAAGCTTTTTGCCAAGAGTCAAAATGCCAGTTCCTAGGGGGTTCAGCTTTATTCTTTTAAAAAAATTGAGATACAATTTACACATCTTAAAGTTCACCTGTTTAATATGTACAACTCAGTGGAGTGTGGTGACCACACCTATAATCCAAGCTACTTGGGAGCCTGAGGCAGGAGGATCTTAAATTCAAGGCCAGCCTGGGCAATTTAACAAGACCTTGTCTCAGCAGAAAATAAAAAGGGTTGAGAATGTAGCTCAGTGGTAGAGAGTTTGCCTAACATATGAGGCCATGGTTCCAAACCTCAGTACCAAAATAATATAATAATGTACAGTTCAATGGTAGTATATTTAGAATTATGCAATCATTACTCTAAAACATTTTCATCGTCACCCAAATCTCTACCCATTAGCTATGTATTCTTTTTTTTTAATTGTAGATGGACACAGTACCTTTATTTTATTTATCTTTATGAGGTGCTGAGGATGGAACTCAATTCCTCACACGTGAAAGGCAAGCGCTCTACCACTGAGCTACAACCCCAGCCCAGCTATGAATTTTTTTTTAATATTTATTTTTTTAGTTCTCAGCGGACATAACATCTTTGTTTGTATGTGGTGCTGAGGATGGAACCCCGGCCGCACGCATGCCAGGCGAGCGCGCTACCGCTTGAGCCACATCCCCAGCCCCCAGCTATGAATTCTTAATCATGTATTCTTTTCTGTCGAGTCAGGAAACACAATCAGTCAGGGTCTTCCAAATGAACACACCTTGTTATCCGAGTGAGGGAAGAGCCCCAGTCAGGAGTCATGGCACTACAGCGCCAGAATACAGTGATCTTTCAGATCCCAGTGGTGCATTTGGAGTGGTTCCCCACACTTTTCTACCCCAGGGTGGGAATGATCTTTAACTTGATCACTGTCCAACAGAAAAACGTGCAGCCTGGGTTACATAAGGAAAGGTTATCACTTGACAGGCTTTGTATGCCTGGATGAACAGTTGAGGATTTGAGCAGATCAGGTAAAGATGTCTTTTCAGTATAGTTGGGTTTTTTTGTTGTTTTGCGGCGCTGGGAATCAAAATTTCATCCTTACGTACATATGCTAGGCAAGTGCTCCACAAGTGAGGTACACTTCCAAATCCTTCAGTATATTTCTGAAAAGATAATAAATATAGGGGATATGGGGGAAAGGATGTCCAGGGGAAAGAACCCACCCCCTTTCCTGACCTCTATTCCTGAGGCAACTTCTTATGTATGTCTTCCCAGAGAGGTGGTCCTCGCTGAGGTTTCTGAGGTGTGTATTAAATGGACTATGGTTGAAAGGCCAAAGTCATCCTGACTAGCCTTTCCTTGGAAACCAATCCTGATAGCCTGCTGTTCCACACTAGATGACCACACGCCTGCCTGGGACGGAGTAGGGGCCCCAAAGAGCTGCTACTCAAGAACTGGAACCTGGCCTGCTGTGGTGCATGCCTATAATCCCAGTGACTCGGGAGAATGAGGCAGAAAGATCAGGAGTTCAAAGCCAGCCTCAGCAAAAGCGAGGCACTAAGCAACTCAGCGAGACCCTGTCTCTAAATAAAATACAAAACAGGGCTGGGGATGTGGCTCAGTGGTTGATTGCCCCTGAGTTCAATCCCCCATACAAAAAAAAAAAAAAAACTTGAACCTAACTGTGCTCAGAGAATGGGTCCTTCAATGGCATCTGCACACATGACACTGGCCCAAGTGGCGCACACCTGAGGACCTAGCTTGGCAACTGTATCCAGAGCCGCAGCACTGAGCTTCATGCAGAGGTTCAGTGTTCAACGTGCATGAGCCATGTGAGGGCGTGTGCGTGCTGGGTGAGCACGTGTACACTGTGTGAGCACCACGTGTAAGGTGTGTTTAGACTGGGTGTGCATGTCGCGTGTGCGCGCGCAGGTCTGGTGTATGTGTGCATTATGTACGTTTAGCAGTATGAGCCTGTGTACACGTTGCGTTAAGGTTTTTATGCATATTGCATGGGCACGCTACGTGCAATCTGTGTGAGACCTGTAGTGTACATTGCATGTGCACGTTATACACGCACTGTTTGAGAACCAGAACGCGCGCGCTGTTAACTGATGCGCATGCGGGTGCGCGAGGCTCCGGTGCGGCGCAGCGGGCCGGTGTGAGGACCGCGCGTGGTGTGAGGACGCGTGCGCATGCGGACGCGCGCGGGTCCAGTGCGGCGCGGCTAGCCAGGCAGTGCGCCTGTGCGGCCGGCGCATCCCAATGGAGCGTGGAGGCGGTTTCGGGGCGGGATCCCGTGCTGAGGGGAATGCGAGGGGCAACCCGCTCCCCGGGAAGATGGCTGAGCCAGGCGCTGTGCGAACCTCGCCACCCAACCAACGGCCTACAGGTAGGGCCCTTGGAGTGCCTGGGGATCCAGAGGGCTTCGGACCCCTGGGGGGCGGGGCGGCCGCGCAAGGCAGCAGTTAGTGAGCGGTGGGGGTGGGGGCGCACGCCGAGCTTGGATAAACGCCCTTTCCCCTGCCTGGGGTCAATTGGGCGCCGGGTCCTGAGGCTACTCCTCTTTTTTGTCCGGGTGGCGGGTCTCCCTACCTCATCATAGCCTGGGTGAGTGGGTGCGCCCGAGGGTGCGCCTTTGGGTGGGTGGCAAGTGTGTTTGGGATGGAAGTGCGAGGGGCTCACGCTCGGTGCCGGAGGGGGTTGTGGGATACCAGACCATGTCCTTGAGAAACAGCTGGCGGGGGAGGGGGCATCGAGGTGGATCGAGCCTACTCTAGGGGGTTGCCCCAGGCCTGCGCGTCTGCCCTCTCTGCGTCCTGAAAAAACGCGCAGGAGCGGTAGCTGCAGCCTGCGGCGAAGGTGGCTTTGCGCTTATCAGCATGCCCCCCGGGAATTAAACCGGCATAACCCACACTTGCTAAGCAGAGAGAGCGGCCTCTGGGATGGGTGACCCCTGCCACCAGGATGCTATCTCTGAAGCCTTGGGTAGGCTACCCAGGTGTTTGGCCCGGCAGCGGCCCCTTCACGTGGCGTCGCGGCTAATGAGGCTGCAGCTGCGGAGAGCCATGGAGGGCTGGTCCCAGTACAGGCTGCCCAAATGGGAGGTTGTGAAGGTATTTGGCAGAATTTGATAAGCAGGTCTAATCATCTGCTAATCATCTGTAAAGTGGTCTCAGGTAGTGCGGGGGTGGGGGTGGTGTAAGCAACATGGAAACGAATTCCATGCTATTTTTCCTGGCAGCATCCCCCCCCCCCTTTTCTTTTAGTTAATAATGTGAGCTATTTTAAAACATTTTTTACTGCAGTCTAACATGCATACAAAAACTGCACAAATTTTTGTATGATTTGGCGAATTATTATCACTTAGAGATGACATGAGTGTTATACATTAGGTAAACCAAGGAAGGGGAAAAAAAATCAAAGGAAATGTTCGTTAGTCGCTTAAACATGCTTTTCATTGGGATTAGCGTAAATATTTTCTGATAGGGCCTTCAGTCACATCATTCATGGAAGGGAAGGGATGACTTAAATCATTTCCAGTTTGTGGGGTTTTTTGTTTATTTATTTTTGTTTGTGGGTTGTTTTTTTTTTTTTTTTTTTTTGAAGGGGGTTTGACCCCGGGGGTATTTAACCATTGAGCCATATCCCCCAGCCCTTTAAATATTTTATTTACAGACAGGGTCTCCCTGAGTTGCTTAAGGCCTCGCTAAGTTGCTGAGGCTGGCTTTGAACCTGCCATCCTCCTGCCTGGAACTGTTTGGAACCAGTTTGTGGTTTTCATCTTGCTTTTCCTTAAAGGCAGAACTTAATATCACAGGGTAGTAATATGAATAACTTTTAAATGAATACTTCCATTTTCATACTAAAGCTTGAGAAACTCAAACTGCATCTGGTAAGGAAGAACCCAGAACACCCACCAAAACTGCTCCTTCCTGGCATTGGGGACCTTGTTGAATAAAAATTTGGAAAAGGGAGGTTGTTTGAACTTGCATTTTTATTTCATTGAGAGTATAAATAGTAAATTATTTAGATGTTTTGTTGTACTAATTAGAGGTGGACCTTCAGTTTTTCTTTTTTTGGAAATGGGTCTCACTATGTTGCTCAGGCTGGCCTCCAATTTGCCATCCTCCTGCCTCAGCCTCCTGTGTAGCTGGAATTACAGATGCACATTATGGTGCCCAGCTGTGGGGGATTCTTAAGTTCTGTTTGGAAACTCTGTTGTATGGTCATTTAATGCACTTTACTGTTACTGAGATTAGCTGAAGTTTTCTTTCATTTGAAATTGGAAATAATGGAAAGATTTGTGAAGGTTTAAAGGACTAAATAAACAATTGTGTGTCTTAAGGTTGGTGTGGTGAAATTGGCATGTTCACTTTAAGTGCCAGGTGGTATCACAGTTTGTTCTTTAGGGGCTAGGGAGGCCAGGTACTAAGAAAATGTCTTAAGAATAAAAAAAAAAACTTGATTCTTGAGTTTTTATTAGGATTAAGACCCTAATACTAATCATTCTTGGTCACCAAAAGCTTGACCATTTGGGACCCATTTCTAAAGAGAATTAAACAGTATTTCTAGCGGATCAACTGTTGTTCCTAAGCTTGTGCTGGGCACTATGGAGACTGCAAAAGACAGAAAGGCCTGAGATGTTTAGGCTCTCCAACAATGTTACGTCTGTACAATTGGGGGATATTAGTGGGTGAGTGGTTTTCCTAGGAGCTGTTGTAGATGATGGCAAGGGAATACCTCTGGTTGTTTCCTCTAGCAACAGGATCTTCTGATATTGAAACCTTGTGCTTGTTCCCAGTACCCACCAGTGATTCATTCATTCTTTCCTTTTACTTACCTATTCTCAGTAGAAATTACAGAATGTACTGTTCTTTTTAGTGATTGTGTTATATGCACAGCATAACAAATGAGGAGCAAGTGCTTCTTGTTTCTATCTGCTTAAATACCTTTATCCAGCAGATAGGATCACCAGATCTCTACTGTCTTGCCAGACTACATCATTGTCACACTGGTCCTGTGCTATTCTCAGCCTGCAGTGCCCCCTTCTCCCCTTTTCCCTTTAGGGGTTCACTTTCTCTGGGCTCTTTCAGTCAGAATTAATGGACTTCTTCCTGTCAGTGCCTGTACTACCTCCAGCCAAGCACTCTTATTCTGCCTGTGTTACATTAACTTTCTAGTTCCTTTAGGTAGGTGTTCATTCGAGTGCTCAGTGCAGAAGAGACTCTGTACTGGTGGCTGTTTCTGCCTCTAAAGCTGAGTAGATTGAGGTCCAGACTGCCTGGTGCGAATACCAGCTCTATCCTTCCTCTTGTGTCACTTAGGGGAAGTTATTTGACATCACTGAACCTTGGTTTTCTTTAAGATGGACTTAAGAGGGGCTGGGGTTGGGGTTGTGGCTCAGTGGTAGAGTGCCTGCCTAGCATGCACGAGGCAATGGGTTTGACCCTCAGCACCACATAAGTGTAAAATAAAGATATTGTGTCCACCTAAAACTAAAAAATAAATATTAAAAAAAAGATGGACTTAAGAAAAAGACTCAGATGGAGCACAATCTTGAGAATACAGCAGTTAATATTGGTAAGGCAGTGCCCAACACACAGGAAATGCTCCAGCTGGTTAGTCATTATTATCTATGTGCATTTCCTCTATTAGATTGTTAGCCAGATGGCAAGGCCTGTATTCATGTTATAGGTGCCTCTGTCAGTGCCACCTGGTACAGAGGGTAGTTGGATGGTCATCTACCCTCCCTCAGGGTTTTTGTGCACAGTATGTCTGTAACCAGTGCTTGCCAATTGTGTTATGCTGAGAGCAGCTAAGCAGGGTTGAATGCTCAGTAAATACTAATGAGTTGGATTAAATAATTGTGTCAGCGGAAAAGTTTGAGATGGTGGAACTACAAGGCATGCTTCCTGAGATCTCTTGAACTTTCCAGTGGCATTCTGTCCGTAAATATTGTTTTACCAAGTTGAACTCATTTGCCCGTTTTTCCTGTTAAACAAAAACTCATGAGACCTAAGGATCTCTGAAATACAAGGGAATATTGAGCCAATACAGATGGTAGCCAAAAAAAAAGGAGCAGTCCTGGGGCAAGTTCCCTCAACCACCAGCAGCCAGGCTAGATGGCAGTTGGAAAAATGTCTGTGCTCTAAGAAACCAGATGCTTTATAATGAAACTTTGGAAAAGGAAGACACGAGTTATTTTTATTGAATCTCCATTAGCTATTGATAAAAAGATTCTCAAAGGTTTGGGGATAGGTACCTTTAGTTTGGGACCACAAGCAGGATGCAATGGCAAAATTTAAGGTTTTGAGCTAGGCATGGTGGTGCACGCCTGTAATCCCAGAAACTCAGGAGGCTGGGGCAACAGGATCGCCAGTTCAAATCCAGCCTTAGAAACTTAGTGAGGCCCTAAGCAACTTAGTGAGGCCCTGTCTCTAATAAAATAGGGTTGGGGAAGTGGCTCAGTGATTAAGCACCCCTGGGTTCAATCCCTGGTACCAAAAAAAAAATTTATTTTGAGGTTTTAACATAATGTACAATTAGGAAAATGCAAATCAAACTATACTGAAATTCCCTCTCACACCAGTCAGAATGACAGTCATCAAGAATACAAATAATAGGGGTTGGGGTTATGGCTCAGTGGTAGAGCTCTTGCCTAGCATATGTGACACCCTGGGTTTGATCCTCAGCACCACATAAAAAGGTAAAGTTAAAAAAAGAATACAGGGGCTGGGGATGTGGCTCAAGAGGTAGCGCGCTCGCCTGGCATGCATGCAGCCCGGGTTCGATCCTCAGCACCACATACATAAACAAAGATGTTGTGTCCACCGAAAACTAAAAAATAAAATAATAAAAAATACTCTCTCTCTTTAAAATAAAGAATACAAATAATAATAAATGCTGGAGAGGATATGGAGAAAAAGGAACACTTTTACACTGTTAGTGGGACTGTAAATTAGTACAACTGCTATGGAAATCAGTATGGAGGCTCCTCAAAAAATTAGGCATAGAAACATATGACCCAGCTATACCACTTCTTGGTATTTACCCTGAAGAATTAAAGTCATCTTAGTACAGTGAAACCATAATCAACTCCATCTTTATAGCAGCACAATTTATAATTGCAAAATTATGGAACCAGCCTAGATGTCCATCAATGGATGAACGCATAAAGAAAATGAGGTATAAATACACAATGGAGTTTTATTTAGCCATAAAGAAAAATGAAATATGTCAGTTGCAGGAAAATGGGTAGAACTAGAAACCATGTTAAGCAAAATAAGTCAGACTCAGAAAGTTAAGGGTCATATGTTTTCTCTCATATGTGGAAGCTAAAGGGGAAAAAAGAAAAGCAAAGGTGGGAGTAGATCTCCTAAAAATCAAAGG